GTGTGTCTACTTGAGGTAAATGTTTAACTCACATGCCTCCTACAGAGACTTTTAAAGAAATAAATGAGCGATTCTACCCCATTCAGCATGGTCAGGGTAGGGGTTTGTAACTGTGGCTCAGCCCTATTGCAGAGGGATGGATAAGACAGCTTCTCAGGATTGTTTCCAGTTCAAGAATCCCCAGTCCTGCTCACGGAGGTGTCAGGAGAGAAGCTGGCTTTGTCCCAGAGGTCTGGCAAGTCTACATGATGACTACTGTCAGCCTCACCAGTAACATCAAACCTGTCAACAGAAAAAACATGTGCCTTGAATCCTAGACACAAAGCAGCCAAACCATCAGAACCTGCTCGAAGTTCTCCTCCAAAGCACCTGACCAAGAAGGAAACAGCCTCCCAGAGGCCAAAAGGACCACTAATTCCAGGAGAGAAATGAAGAGGAACCCAGGAGAGGTTTTCTGGAGGAAACACAATAGCTGGGAGAACAGAAAGCTGACCTAAAAGTTGGCATCTCATGACTGACATCATTAATCATTAACCAAAACAAATCCACTGCCATGGAGTCGATTCTGACTCACAGCGACCCCCATTGGGTTTCTGAGGCGATAAATCATTACAGAAGTAGACTGCCCCATCTTCCTTCCACAGAGCAGCTGGTGGGTTTGAACCACCAACCTTTTAGGTAGCAGTCAAATGCCTTAAGCACTGCACCACCAGAGCTCTGTACATACCCACTAGGAAGACTAAAATAAAAAAGACAAAAAAGTCAACTACCAGTGTTGACAAGGATGCAGAGAAATAAGAACTCTCACACTTGGCTGATGGAATTGTAAAATGGTGTAGCCACTTTGGAAAATAGTGTGGCAATTTCTCAAAAAGTTAAACATGGAGTTACCACACCACTCAACAACTCTACTCCTAGGTATGTGCCCAAAAGAACATATATTCACACTAAGATTTATGTACAAATGTTCATAATAGCATACTCGTAATAGCCAACGGTTGAAAACAACCCAAATGTCCATCAACTGATGAATGATCAACACGTTAAGCATTGTATCATTTCACTAAAAGAAGCCACTCACCAAATACCACTTATTGTATGACTCTACTTATATGATATGAAATCACATTTCGTATTTATATTATATGAAATACCCACTATAGGCAAATCTAAAGAGACAGAAGCAGATTAGATGTTGTCCAGGGCTGGGAGAGCTGGGGTTTGGCATGGGGACAGTGACTGCTAATGGGTACAAGATTTCTTTCTACGGTGATAAGAAAGTTCTAAAATTAGATTGTGGTAATGGCTGCACAACCCTATGAATATACTAAAAGCCGATGAGTTGCATACTTTAAATGGGTAAGCTGTATGGTATGTGAGTTACATCTCAATAAAGTCATTTTTTTAAATTGAGGGAAAAAAACTCAAAAACCCAATAGAAAAAAATTCACCATTTATGAAACAAAACAAATAACCCATGTAAGTTCTGAACACAGTATTGTGACCATATATGCTCAGGCTAAATACAAAAAGAACAGTGAACAAATATTAGCAGGTCTGCTTTTTGCAGTGGAGTAGGTTAGTAATTCTGAAACTGCCCTCTATGTACATGTATTGTGGATAATGGGAACCAGGTTTCTCTCATTATCAAAGAAGTTTAAAAATACTGGTAAACAAAATGTGAGTGATCAATATACTGGCATTGAGAAAGAGAAAGACATAGA